CTATTTAGTTTTTATTTGGTTTTGGGTCCGTGCACAGATATAGTGTTTGATTAGAAGATGCAAAACATATACATTCAATAGACTGACAGGTATAAACTGTACCTGAAACTCCAGATTGACTTCTACCAGCTCCCGCAGTTCAGGAGACCTAGCTTCTGGCTCTATCAGGCACGAGCAGAAAGACCTAAATAAGAGTAAAAAATTAAAAGGAGCAGGGGATAATGTTATAGGGAATAATAGGACATAAGGGAATAATAGGGAAAACCAGAAATATCTGGCGCAGAAGAACAGACTAGGAACTTTAATTCAGTGTTGATTCAGGCAGCACCTGAGGACAAAAAAGGTAGAAGTTGCACCGCCTCATTTCATTGATTTCAAGGGGATTCCGACCAAATCAGACCCAGATAACTTTATAGAAATATCCAAACTTCTCACTGATGGTTTTGTGTGTTTATGTAGGTCATACATACATACATACCTATTTCATAACCAGTTAGGTTAACTTGTTGTAGTAGGTTTAAAGATCACCTCCAGATATGTATTAAAACATATTAAAATACTCTGCATGGATTAATAATTTGTGTCTGAGTTAAAAAATGCTACAATTAAATCTACTCCTTCTCTTTAAAAAAAATAAAAATCTATGAATATGCAAATATATTTTTTTTTTTTCCCTCAAAAACCTGCTTGTACATCTTAAACTGAGATCTAAAGTGACCCCAGAGAAATGTTTCCCCCTTTGATGTGAAAACAGCCTTCTAGTATCAAACTGTGCACATACATCATATTGCACAGTGAAGTGATAACAAACAAAACACTATTTTGAGTATTAGGAGGACTTATGAAAGAGTGGCTCACCTTTGGAGCAGGCACCCTGGGGTGGGCTTCTGCACCTCCCTCAGAGTCTGCATGGGCAAGATCTGAACAACGTTAACGATCATACGAGGAACCTGAAGCACAGCACAAAGAAGACACCCACGCTGTAGTGAATTCCTGCAGCATATAAAAACCTCACCAAGAGCAATCCAAGTGTATTGTCTCCTCTTCTCTCACTTTACCTCATTCATAAGCATTTCCAAGGAGACGGTCATATAGTGAATGAAGTTATCCACTGAAAATAGAGCCTGGAGAAAACATGGAGACTCTGCAGAGATTAATGACATATTTGTCATTCTATAAAAAGCACCTGTTTCCTTCAACTAAATCCATTTAAAAACAGAAAGACAGACCTTATCTTTGCAGTAATCACAGATGTCATTCATGCCCATGAGAATGGTCAAAAGCTTCCAGTCCTGCTCAAAGTTTAGACCCTGAAGAAAGAGACAACAGAGGGCCAGAGGAGGTGGCAGAAATATATGCCATTTTAAAAAAACAATGATATATATAAATATTTGCCTGGAAAAGCTCCCAAATGAAGATATTTTAACTCAAAAACACAAAAACAATACATTATTGTGGCACATTAGTAAAGGTTTGAATAAAAATATCTAAAGGTGGCATTTGAAATCAATACATTGTTTTATTTTCAAATCTTCAGACATTTTCCAAATAAGTCTTTTTTCATTGAACTTAAGCCAATCACTTAGTCTAACAAATAATTAAATTACTGTTACATTTGACAGCATTTGACACCAAACTGGGGTGGCAGCTGGGGGTGGCAAGACATTATTTATGGCTGGCAGCTGCCACCCCATGCCACCTCTCTAGATCCGCCCCTGGTCATGGTGTAAATGTGGTCCATAAAAACATTTTCAGGGGCAGCATCTTGCTGTAGGATATAACAGATTCCAGCTAACAGGCTTTAATAACCAGCTCTATAACTCCATCATCACTCTGTTGTTACATTTCTGAGAAAACAGGACATTACTGTACCTCATAACCTCTCAGTGTGTCAATCAAATGTCTGGTCTGGCCGGGGAGGTTGCTGGGAAAAGAGCATAACAGTCTTTAAAAGCATCATTTATAAATAAAGCAGAAGGTCACAGAGCACACAATATTGTACGAAAATGCAATTTCTCAGTGGAAGTGGCCTGAAGCCCAAACAGAGCTAAAATTGGGCTACAAGGTATGATATTACTGGTTTCATAGTGATCCAAACACTGTTGGTGTGACACTGATGAGTCCTTACAAGGTATTGTGTCCAGTCACAGCCAGGTTGAAGCCTGTTTCACTGATATGAGCCTGCATCCCGTGGACCGTCTTGCCGGGAGCAGCACCAACCAGATTGGGATTGAACAGCTTGATGATATCTGAAAAGAACGATCGGAAAAGAAATAATGGAATATATGTAAAACAATACTGTAAGCTAAGATATAGTCAGTGATTAAAACATCTTACTTGCCAAAGTAATGGCATCTTGAAATGACCCGTAGCCTCCAATGCTGCAAGATGAAGGTAAGTCAGAGTGAATAGTGTTAGTACTAAAACAAGTGGTGATATTAACTCAAGTACTGTACTTGTACAGTATACTGATGTTTTACTTAATTTTCTTCTCGTGCCACTTTATATTTCTGCTCCACTACAGGAAAATATTGTACTACGAGTATCTAACTGCTTCAGTTTCTAATTACTTCATAAACTAAGATTGTAAACCATTAATCAATTAACGCAGAAAATAATTAGCAGATCTATAATGAAAATAATACTTATTTAGTATAATAGGCACAGGGGACATTTTTCTACATTGAGTATTAACATTTCAGGTACTTTTTTCTGACTATACCATAGTTTGACTTATGGAACATTTTCAGTGCAGGAATTTCACTTCTAATGGAGTATTTTTACAGTGTTATTAGTTCCTTAATTAAGAATCTGAATACCTCATCTACTATTCCTATTATATGCAAACTAAGAAATTCCACCTCTCTCTCTAAATACACATGGTGTGTGGTATTTTGAGTTTTGACTCTACTGCAGGGTTATTATCAGTGCAAGAGACCCATTACATGATACATCAACACATGATTTCTGTCACCTCCATGACACATGGCGAAACTCAATGGGAATCCCGAGGACAGTGGTGGCGTTGGCACCTATGGCCGTCTAAAAGGAAGAGACACAACATCTGATGAAAATGAGGACAACTGAGGAGGTGATTCTGTCATTTGGATAACACCCATTGCATTTCTTGTATAGTCCACTGCATTTTGAAGAGGAATTGTGTCCTTGTAAACGTAGTAAATGTAAGTTTCACAGTGGATACTGGAAACTCAAAAACATGTTTATCTTGTCATCCAACAGTGTGATGTTTTGAGGGTTTATTTAATAATTCACACTTTTGCTTTAAAAAAAGCACAAAAATTGAGAAGAGTAATGATAAGTAATCTGGTTACACTACTGTTACTGGATCATTTAGTCAACATGATTTACATTGTATATTAATGGTCCAACAGCAGTATTTTTTATACCATAGCAGCTGAAGAAAAAACAACAAATAACACCTACTGTCAGTGAATCCCCCAAGGCGGCGATGACTTTGATATCTGCCGCCTTCACAAATTCAACTGGACCAAAGTGTGAAAGCAAAGATGGAGATGAAAGAGAGGAAATCAGTGTAAAGTTTTAACTCTTGGATGACAGATTGATTTAAGGTGGGGGGTGATCTTGACAGACTGACCTGAGGAGGGGATGGAGGGAGAGGGACTCATGTCCGGGCACTGGAATGGGGGATGTTTGAAGGTCACTGGTCGAGTTTTCTCTGGAAACTCCTGAGACAGGAACAAGAGAGAGGCCTCACTGCCATGTCTAAACTTTTAAATTATTTATTTTCAGACGCTGGTTGAATATGCGACCCACGTAGGGGAAAGTCCTGGAGACACAGCCTTGAGATGAAACCTGTCCTCTTCCTCACCTCTCCTATGACTTGCTGTCTTTGTGCAACTACATTATGTTTTCTTTAGTCTGATAAGAGCTATGCTTGTTGTGCACATACTCAGGATGCCTGCTGGTCCATGTGGTATGGCCAGTTGTTCCCCCCCTCCCACTGATAACCTGCCTCTTATGTTAAAAGCATGTTACCCATTGTTATATACTCATATTGTTTTTCGTTGCTTTAATTTTGTCCAATTGTGGTGTCTTTTTAACAAATCTGTCAACCAGAGCTTTTGGTCAGATACTTAACCTGTTTAAATGATGAACAAACATTTAACTCAATTATGTTCTGGTATGAAAAAATTAAAAAAAAAATTAAATCCAGAGTTTCTCAATAACATTTTTATGTTCAGTGATAAGACCAGGTTGAAATAGTACCTTGTGTAGGGCCTCCTTGCTGTAGTGTCGTATCCCCTCCTCATACTCCCACCACCAGTCGTTGCCTTAAAGAGGATGATTTCCAAAATGTCCACTCGTAACTTTTCAAATGGCCCAATAAGCCACTTCTTTCCACGCGTTTATCGATTAAACAAGTAGTTTTACTTTGACAATATCTTTTAAAACACAAAAAGTCTCTCAAGTAAAAGTAACTTTTAGAAAAGTACATCAGTCTTGACTTTACTCCTAGGTGTACCTGTACTCCTATATATAGTTTTGTTAGAAATCCTATGAACATTATAGGCACCACAAACAATCTGTCTACAAATAAAAAAAGGCCCTGTTTCAGAGGCTGTTGTAACAATAAATATAGGCACACAGCCTCACGTGTGCTCTGCTCTCCTGCTTGTTCTAGCACTTACCTTTGACAGAGCAGGATGTGAGCATACATGTTGCCACGGCGATCCAAAGCCACTCCATAGTAGTGCGTATGGGCCAGTCAATGGGTCACCCTTACAGAGCGCACAATGTGATGCTGAGTTTTACAGCGCTGTCACTTTGTCTCGCCCACCCTCTAAAGCTGAGTGACAACCTGCAGGCCCAGTGAGAGCCGGTCTGACTGTTCAATGTCAGCAATACAATACCTTGCAACAATAACCACATTTCACGTTTTATGCATTACAAGCTTTGTGACTTTCAAACAAACTTTGACATCAATGTTTAAGCAATAAAGACAAGACGGAAAACAACCATTAAATATCCATATATCATTTATTAATTTCTTTATAAACTTGTATTTGAGATGGTAAAAATGCAGTCTTCTCGACAATCTTGATCAGTGTTTCATTTGAGACAAATTGTTGAGTTGTGTTGCCATCGATGTGTGAATATTTCTGTGAAACAGTTTGGAATAATTCATTTTCCTCCTGCAAATGACAATTTACGGTCCTTTTTTTTGACTTCATACACTTCATGCAGATGTATTGGCAGATAACTTCTCAATAATTCATACAACAAGCACATATTGTGGAACTGAACAAATGGACTGCGTTTGGCAAAATCTGAAGTTTCTAATCTTGTTTTGATAAATACTGTCTGGCCTAACCATGGCTGTATTTCTTCATTTGAGGTCCATCTGAGCTGAAAAGTGTAGGCAGAGCATTGAGCTCCAACTTGGACTTTTGGTGAGGGGGTGGAAATTCTCACAACAGCTGAAGTTGTGTAACCAAACACACACAAAAAAACTAATCCACTTCCTCTAATGTAGAAACAATCCAGAGTTCGAGGCGCTGCTATATTTAAGGCTGCTCCAGTTTACGCCTCGGCTAACACAAGGCTTAACAAAAAACAAAACAAAACACAGGGCATGTGGGAAGAGTAACTATTGAGCTACCTTCCAAAAACCAACCACTAGAATGAAATCAAAACCTGACGAAAATATCTCACCACCGTACAGTACACCTTCTAAAACTGTTCTCCCCTGTCTTTTACTGAACTCTATACATCAGTTTTTCTGACATTTGCTCTTTAACTTGAATTTTTAAAAGCCTGCGCACTCTGCTGTCACTGTTCTTGGAGAGGGACGCGTCTGGATGAATTTTCAAACAGGATCTGCATCAAGGATTTCAGCGGCAGCTTAGTTCTGACTGACTTCAGCAGATTCTCATTCGTTCTCTGCGTGTCTGCCATGTTGAAGATGTCTCCACCTGTGTACTTAAAATTATCTAACCAGTCCAAGTTTCTATTATTTAAAGTAAACCTCTTAACAGGTTTCTTATTCTTATATTAATGACATTAACGTGGCTTTAGCACAGTTTAGCATTGTTACTAATGTTGAATGGACACAAACTGTTTCTGTGAATTGCAGGTATGTAACAGGTAACTGACCTGACATGTCAACTAAACAAATAATGAATGCAACATTTGTTCACTTGTTCAGTATCTGGGGAAAAAAAAGGTGCCTAAAATGAAAGTCTGCAAAATGATGAGAGAAAACATGCAGAAACATGACTTTCTTTAGCAACTCGCAAATGAAATTATTCTAGTTCCCGTTTTCCTGCCTGAATTTTTGATTGAAGCAGTTTTGGGTGTTACTTTCTCAAAAAAAAACAAAAAAAACGAACGTGAGAAGAAACTAATACTCATATCAGATTCCAACTATGTTGACTATGTTGATTAGTCAAGTCACAAAATGCCTTTGATCTGGCAATCGCAAGGCTTTTTCCATGTGATGGACACGGGTGCTTCTGGCAGTATCCTGAGTCACAAGTCTGTGTTATCCTAACACTCTGTTCTGTAGCATTGTCCATAAACACCCCCACTGCCTTTCTTCAACACAGGACCAGCATATTTGAAATGGAGAAAGGGAGTTGTGAGACTGCACAGGTCAGCAGCCATCTCAGTCTTCTTTTAGCAAGTGGAGGGGAGCAGGCAGAGTGGGAGAGGTGCTCAAACTAGCAGGTATTTAGTTAGTAAGCACCAGCTGCTCCACGGG